CGCTGGATGGGCGGCGCCTGTTGTGGTCTTGGCGGCCTTGGCCTCCTTCTCGCCCTCCTCCTTGCGCTTCAGGTACTCCTCATTTTTGCGCTTGCGAATCTCCATCAGCTGCTGGTCCATGAGCGATGACTCCGCGTACAAGTGATCACCACAGGCAGCTAAACAGCTCAGGTAGGAAGATACCCCTCGCGCGGTCTGTAAGCTGAGCGCGCAAATGGTGAAAAGGAAAGATCTCCGCTTCTCACGGGCTTTTGTGACCTTTCACGCGTCCATTTAGTCGACTCAAGTTGTACGTGAGGCAGTATGCACAGACCAGTTGGGCTGGCTCTGCTGCACAAACCCACTGCAGCAGAGGCTCCCCATGGATTCATCCATCTGCAGCGGAGATACAAGTGAGATCCACACACACGCCTGATCTCTCTCGTCGTGGCTTCCGTTCATGTGGTCTGCTGTGTTTGTTGACGGCTGCAGGCATCCGGCACGGAGGAAGCGGCCGAAAAGGTGGGAGCCGCCACGGACCAAGCCGCTGGACATCGAGCGGAAGATCAAGAACCCCATTCTGCACGACCAGGCAAGTGGCAGTGACCTCTTCCAGTTATGATGTCAATCAACGGATGAGTGGTCTGACTGACATGTGTCTGTCCGCAGAGGATGGGCAGCGTCGAGACGCTCATGGAGGGCGAGTCTTCACGCCCGAGTCATGGAAGTTCGTGTTTTCCCCCCCCCCGCCTCATCAGAGGAAGTATCTTTGCAAGGATCGCGACGTTCTATTGCTGACCCCCATCCCCCCTTTTGCTCGGCCCCATGATGTCGAAGCTGTCGAAGCTTTCGTCGCTTACAACACCCAGCCCCTTCATCCCCGCCCCTTGCAAGACCACCGGACCGCAGCAGAGCCGCAGCAGTGACCGCAAACCCGCGAAGGACGGGAAAGTTCCCTCTGAGACGCATCGGCGCCGCGCTGAGGACTCGGCAGTGGGGGTGAAGGAGGCGGCTCTGCCTCAGGCCGACAGCACTCGGGTGCCCACTGTGGACACGGGCAACAGCACTCCCGTCGAGCCGCCGACCGTGCCCCCGCTGCTCGAGGTTCCTATCGACTATGGCGCCATGCATGCGGCTGCACTCCAGCGTTCATTCGTGTCGCCGCCCCCATCGCATTGTCCTCCCGTGCCACTGCTGCCGCTACCCGTCATCGGTGACCCCCGGCTGATGTCCTCATATCCGCCTTTCTCAGCCCCTCGCACACGCCTGCATTCCGAGACCGTCAAAAAGCTCATATCGTTCGAGGACATTCCCACAGGGCACCTCATCCCTGTGTATATGTTTTTCGGCGCACCTGTGGCTCTGTCCGAGGCCAAGTGGGTGGCTGATTTGGCGGCCATGGGGCTCAAGGCGAGGATGAGGAGACGGGAGAGGCCGTGACGGGCGGATACTGGGTGGAGACCATGCAGTGACACGACACGATAGCGACACGAGGACACAAACACAAAGGAGAGTGTGTGCGGGAATGGTGTGTGTGTGAGAGCGGCTTGGTATGCGGCTGGGTGGATAGATGGATGGGCGGGTCGTGTGTGGTGGGTGTGAGAGAGCTAATGATAAGGAGGGGGATGTGACGTGACACGTACGTGAACATCTGCCCTGTCTCTCTCGGTGTGATGGATGGCGATGGGAAGGATGGATGGGGGTTGACGGATGGGTGTGATGGTTTTCAACGAATGCGTGCAGCGCAAGCCTATACAGTAGTAATGCGCTGTGTGCATCCTCAGTGTGCATCACACATGTCGCTCTCTTCAAATTTGCTCTCTTGCTGTCATACCTGGTGCGAATTTGTGTGTGCGTGTCCAGCTGGGTGCGTGTAGCGATCATGGCCGTGAGCTGCCTATTTTTCCTCTCCCTCTTGCACACACGAATGGATGGACACATCGATGTGACAAATGGATGGGTGTGGTGGATGGTGAGCCTCTCTTGCGTGCAGACGGACGGATGTACATACAATAGAAAACCAAACAGATTGAGCGGTGTGTGGACAAGTCTGAGATTCTCCTCATACATGCATCATTCAAACACACACACGGACGATTTGGGGTCTTGCACTGCTTGTCACACATGGAGCACTGATGAATGTACGCACTTCCGATCGTCAGACAGGCGGCCGCGCTCTTCTGTGTGTGTGTAGATGGACCCTCACAGTTCTCCGAACCATTCGTCTTCGTCTGCGGCCTTGCTGCTCTGGTGGTGCTTGGCAGGGGCGGCCTTGGGCTGCTGCTCCTGCTGCTGGGGCGGCTTGATCGGCACACTCGCTGCCTTGCGGCCGATGTTGAGTGCCTTCAATGCACACACACAGACACAGACAGAGATGACATGAAAAGATGCCACCACGTCCAGAGTGTCGCATTGGTGTCTCCTTACCTTTGGTTTCTGCCGCGGCTCGGCTGGTTTGGTGGCTGGCTTGGCAGGTGGCTTGGCATCGGGAGTGGGCTCCTTCCGTGCCTGATACCATGACACAACAACAGCAAGACGATCCATCCATTCAGCCCCCCCTGTGTGTGTGTGTGTGTGTGTGTGGTAGACTGACTGACCTGCAGGAGTGCTCTGGGTTTGGCGTGGCCTCGACTGGGTGCGGACGAGGCCACTGACTGGGGGCTGATGTTAGGCTGTTTGGGGTTGGGGTTGGGGGGGTTGGCGGCCGGAGTGGGAGCAGGTGGCTTGCGGTTGCCGTGTGATCGGTGGCGCTTGAGTTTCTGCGAGATGACGCTCATGGCGGCGGGGCTCTCCTCATCGGCATCGTCGCCCTTCTGTGCCTCGTCGCGAACACTCGCCCCCCGCACACCTGCATACATCCACACGAAAAGACACACATGGATGCCTGGCCAGCCAGCCATCTCTCTCGTGGCTGCTAGCCTACCTGCCCCCTGCTGCTGTTTCTGGATGAGGGACGCATTGGACGCGTTGTCCTGGTTGAGCTGCGCCACCCTCTGCTGGTTGGGCCTTCGGTACACCTTGAGAGTCTGGTACACCTTGAGAGTCTCCACGACTTGTGTGGGTCGGTGGTTGACTTGCCGCCATTCAGGCGGGTCGTCGTCGCCGAATGGACGGTACCGCAGGTCGTCCACCACCACAAGACAGCTGCCCAGCACCTCCACGCGCTCGCTGGCTGCTAGCGGCCGCTTGTACTGCATCACAACGGCCTCCTCGTCGATGGCTCCGTCTCTCATGATCCCCTCTCTGACCATCATGGCCTGCTGCCTCATCATGTCGGCATCCTCCAACATTTCGTCGGCCTGCTGCCTCATCTCGGCTGCTTCCTCCTCAATCATCTCGGCCTCAGCCTCGATCTCCATGGCCTCGTCCTCCGCCTCTTCTCGCATCATCATGGCCTCCTCGTCCTCCACCTCGCAGCCATCATCACACTCCTGGGGCATCGGCTCGCGTGCATCGTCGTCATGCTGATGCATGGGATGGTCAGGTGACACCATGCCCTCGTGCTGCTGCTGCTGCTGCTGCCTGGCCGGCCCCAAGCGAGACGGCTGGTGCTGCTGGTGCTGCTGGTGGTGGTTGTGGCCGTCATCGGTGCGATAGATGAAGGCGCTAAAGTCGGCAGGGCAGGGCTTCTTGGCGGGTGGGGGCGGGGCGGCCGGGGGGACACGGGGCGTGTCGGCATGTGGACGCTTCTGCTGCTGCTGCTGCTGCTGGGGCGGCTTGATCGGCACACTCGCTGCCTTGCGGCCGATGTTGAACCCGAGCGCCTTCAATCCACACACACAGACAGAGACAGAGATGAAATGAAAAGATGCCACCACGTCCAGAGTGTCGCATTGGTGTCTCCTTACCTTTGGTTTCTGCCGCGGCTCGGCTGGTTTGGTGGCTGGCTTGGCAGGTGGCTTTGCATCGGGAGTGGGCTCCTTCCGTGCCTGATACCATGACACAACAACAGCAAGACGATCCATCCATTCAGCCCCCCCTGTGTGTGTGTGTGTGTGTGGTAGACTGACTGACCTGCAGGAGTGCTTTGAGTTTGCCCTTCGCCTGGCCCCCTGCACCAGCAGCAGCAGCACCAGCAGCAGCACCAGCAGCACCAGCAGCAGCACCAGCAGCAGCACCAGCAGCAGCACCAGCTGCTGCTGCAGGTGCGTCGCCGATGGGGAGGAAGGGCAGCTTGGTCTGCTTCTTGGCTGCCTGGGCGGGGGGCGTCTGTGCGGCGTTGGCAGGGAAGGGTTGGTGCGTGTGTGGGTGTAGGTCTCCAGTGGCGATGCCGTGTGCGATGTGGTCGGCCAGCCAGGGACCGAGGAAGTCGATGTCGTCGAAACCGTGAGAGGGGTTGTCGGGGATGGGGTGCACGCGAGCCAGGCATTGCTGATGGACGCAGTGGAGACGCAGCAGGGTTGGGTGAGAGGTGTGTCCCCCTGGTGATGGTGTGGTGGTGTGGTGGTTTTGGGATACGCGCGTACGTGTCTAGGGTCGTATACGGTTTGGTGTGCGAAGGTCATCTTGGCCTGCGCGTAGCCGACGTCGTCGTCGTGCGGCACACTCAGACCCTGCAGGCGCATCGCTTTCATGATCCGCACACACACACAGCACGGCACAGGGGGGATGCGCGGGATGCGGGCGGATCGGTCACCTCAACCAGACACTTATTCCCTCACTCCCTCACTGCCTCACCTTAGCGACGTCTGTCTTGAACTGTCCCGCGAGTTCGGCAGCGTTCTTGATGCCGACCTTGTCCACGCTGCAGAGGTAGTCGCACCCAGCCATGATGCACACCTGCTGAAACAGATCTGATCAACGAATGGGAAGGAACAATGACACACAGAGAACGTTCCAGCCACCGGCGCGCGTGTGTATGTGCGTGTGTGTGAGCACCGACCGTGTGAGTATCTGCCGAGTGTCTTGAAGTCTCTGGCCTGCGGGATGTCCTTGAGGTCGATCAGACGGCCGCGGCCGCTCTCATCGTACTTGTACAGCACCTGAAGGCATGGCATTCATCAAGGAGCCAAACCAACAGAGGCAGGAACACACACACGTTGTGTGTCGGCGTGGGTCCAGGTAGGTACCTTTGGGCATCCGTAAACGAGCAGGTCAGAGTCCTCAGAGATCACCAGCGACACCCATCCTATCAACTGCACACACACAACCACACACACATCTCCACCACGGCAGCAGCTCGGCTGTCGCCGTCTGTGTGGCTTCGGTTGGCTCACCGCTAAGAAGGTCATCTGTGCGCCCGCTTCGTAAGGTGCTACAATGAACTCGATATTCTTGGCACGCAGACGCTACCAACACACCACAACAGGGAGGGGAGGGCACCACTACACGGTGCAATGCATCCTCCCCTCCCTCCCCTCCATCTCACTACCAGCAGCTCATGGGCTGCTCGGCAGTGATCGTTACGGCCTGGGCGAAGAACTGCACAACACACACACACCCACACACACACATACTCATACACAGCACAACCACGACGCCTCCCGCGGTGTATAGGTGTGTGGCGAATGCATTGGTTGACTGACTGACCTTGTGAGCCTCCTCCATCTTTTGCATCTTCATGAGGCCCTTAGCCTTGTCACGGGCCTCACGACGGGACCTGAACACCGCACACCACACCACCACACACCGACAGACAACCATCACAACACAGACAGTACAACAAACACACCTCCCTCCCCAGCCCCCTCCCGTCTGAGTGAGTGAGCTCACTGTTCCCGCCGCTGGTTCTCTTCGGCCTTGGCGGGCAGCGAACCACCGTCGAACACGACCACCTGCGCGAACGAGTATATATGAAGCGATGACAGACAGATCCGCCGGGTGTGTGTGTGTGTGTGTGTGGGTACCGGTGTGAGGCCGAATTCTATGAGTGAGTCGATTCGCCTGATGCAGTAGTCGATGTGTCGGGTGGTCGGCTCCCCCAACACCAACGCCTTGGCACAGCTGTACGCACCCTGCATCTCACACACACACACACACACACACACACACATGCCTCCATCGACTCGATTAATCGTCATCAATGGTTCTCTCTGTGCATATATCTCACCTTGTGGAGCCAAGACGAAGCCTATCACATCACACACACGCCCAGCACACAGAGGCAGATGCATCTCCGAAACGTCCTTTAGGTGTGCGTGTGTCGCCTCACATCGATGGCAACTCGTTGCCCATTGAATGCGGTGATGTGAACGTCAAACTGCACGCCCTCCAAGGCCTCCAACAGGCCCTGGATACCCATCCGGGATGAAGGAAGCCTCTAGCCTGCAGCAGCGGAGCTCATGGCCGACGGAGGGGGGAGATGCGGCCGCCTATGCACTCGGCAGTCATCACACGTGAGATGCGGCGAGAAAAGTCAGAAAAATTTGATATAAGAAGTCGAGAGGATCGCGCGGCCAGGTTTTCGTTGTGCCAGGTTAACGCATGTGAATCCCGTGTCAACAAAGTCTCCTCCACGGACTTCGGACGAAAACAATCATCAAAACAACGCGTAAAGAGAAAATGGCAACAGGCCGGCTGCATGACGGGCCTCTTCAGGGAGAAAAAACACCGCATCAGAGCCGCTAGCCACTCACGCGCACGCCCTCATGTAACTCATGCAAGTAAGAAGCCACACGATTCGTGACACAATCAGACACACACGCACGGATGC